CTGACAAAGCTAATCACTCACAATCACTTAACTTTCAACATTATCTATCAACTATCACTTGGCACTCACCACTTAAAAACAACTCTAATGCCTCAAGATTCCACCCCACTATCATTACAAGATTGACTCACATTATTCAAATCGATTATATAGTAACGCCTTCTCCTATTATAAAGCAAAATGTCTTTTGTAATTCTTGGATCATATTTGAGAAATTATTTCAACGAATTAGGCATCATAATTTTCTCTTCCAAAATTTTTATGCAAAATAAAAAATCTAGTATATATTGTATGATACTCTCAAAAACAAAGGAAGATATCAGAATAAAAGTTATTATTGATAAATTAATAGTGTTAAGATTTATCAACCCTAATGGTTACACACACACACACACACACACACACACACACATATATATCTGAATTAATTTCTTATTGAAAATTTTATAAGAAATAAATCTTCATCATTGAATTTAAAAATGAGATTCAAATTATATAAGAATAAATATCTATCATCATCAATATAATCAAATAAAATCTCATTGCAAATCAATGATGATGACATACAAAGCCCTTTTAAATTGTGAGGAATTATTTGACTTTCACCAATGCAACATATTTTAATTTCAAATCACAAAACTTTCAAACTATATCACATTATCTCATTGATTCTCCTCCAAATAAATAAAAATAACAAAAGCTACTACTTTTACTAAGAAGTCTTCCTTCTCTCAAACCAATCAACATCAAATGTTGACTTTAGGGAATTAGGTGAAGTCTACCATTTTTATTATCTTTTTTTTTTTCTAAAGAATATATGCATCATGTGTTGCATACTCTCTCCTCCTATGGCTATCATCTCTAAAGGTATTATTAAATATCAACATGCAAACCAAATAGAGAAAGATATGAACTACTTTTCAACTTTAAAGATAAAATCTATACTTTGAATTCACATGCACTTAGATATTTATAGAAACCCATCGTTGCTTAGTTTGGTTGGTGGGCTAGTGCGAATGGGTACTTCCAAACCTCGTTCAATTCCCCTCGAGGGTGGCTATTCAGTGGGGCACAAATAAGTGCGAGCTAGGAGATTATTATGGTGGGTGTCTCTTCCAGGTCATCCGAGAATTAGTCAAATAGCCAAGCGCCTCACAAGCTGAGGTGGCAGTGGATGGATACACCGTTCCAAAAAAAAAAAAATTATAGTAGCAATAGTTTGATAGAGAATTATCAATGTAAAAGATCGAAAACAACACTTCTTAGCGGGGCTTTATAAACTGTTGCTAATTTCGTCCATCAACAACGATTTAAATCATTGCTAAAGAGGAATAGATTGCAAGAGCAACATTTTGATAGAAGTATCCATGTAAAACATCAAAGACGATACTTCTTCGCAGTGGTTTATATTGAAGCAATTTAAACTATTGGATTGAATTGAGATGTTAAATTATGTAAAGTTTATAGTTGATTGTTAGATTTGTTTATTTTATGTGATTTTAAGGTTTTTTATTTATGTTCTTATTATTTTTAAATTATTATTGTATAGAAAAAATTGAATTGAGAAAACATTTTATTATTATTATTATATTTTTTTGCTTCACATAAAACAGAAAATAAAATAAATAGTTAAATATTTTAGTTAAAAATCAAAGTAAAAAAAATTATCATTTCATTGTATGTTTTATAAATTTTTATTTTTATTTTATTTCTTTTTTTTTTGGCTCATTTTAAGATAAGAGTTTTTTTAGGGGGGGGGG